AGGGGATTTAGTCCAACAGCAGTGGTATCGGCTGCGTGCTAGAAAATACCTTAGGGGATTTAGTCCAACAGCAGCGCGACTGCGTGCTAGAAAATACCTTAGGGGATTAAGTCCTACAGCAGTGGTATCGACTGCGTGCTAGAAAATACCTTCGGGGATTAAGTCCAACAGCTGCGCGACTGCGTGCTAGAAATACCTTAGGGGATTTAGTCCAACAGCAGCGCGACTGCGTGCTAGAAAATACCTTAGGGAATTAGTCCTAAAGCAGTGGTATCGACTGCGTGCTAGAAAATACCTTCGGGGATTTAGTTTAACAGCAGCGCGAATGCGTGCTAGAAAATACCTTAGGGGATTTAGTCAAACAGCAGTTGTATCGACTGCGTGCTAGAAAATACCTTAGGGAATTTAGTCCAACAGTAGTGGTATCGACTGCGTGCTAGAAAATACCTTAGGGGATTTAGTCCAACAGCAGCGGTATCGACTGCGTGCTAGAAAATACCTTAGGGGATTTAGTCCAACAGCAGTGGTATCGACTGCGTGCTAGAAAATACCTTAGGGGATTTAGTCCAACAGCAGCGGTATCGACTGCGTGCTAGAAAATACCTAGGGGATTAAGTCCAACAGCAGTGGTATCGAGTGTGCTAAAAAATACCTCAGGGGATTTAGTCCAACAACAGTGGTATCGACTGCGTGCTAGAAAATGAAAACAGTTCATCAATTTTGTGCGTACAACAAAAAAACACAGATCTATTACATAAAAAAAGGAATGGACAATTCCAATTCAAATGATATATAAGCTTTGTTAATTGGTCATAATTTGTGTGATTGGATTTTATTGAGCAAATCCCACAAAATACATTACATCAATTCTACAACAGTAAATGAAATACTAGAAATACTGAATTGAAGGTAGAAAAGATGAAAGTTCGAAATCATTGTCTCAATAAAGGCAATAGTAGTATACCATGTATACCTCTGTTCAATAGTCATAAATCGATTTAACTGAAACAAATCCGGGTCATAAACCAAAACCGAGGGAAACACATCAACTATAAGAGGAAACAAAACGGAACAACAGAAACACTGAACTGCTACAAAAACAAACGCCAACATACATAGAAACAGACTATGTGATAACAACTGCCATATTCCTGACTTGGTACAGGAAATGATGATTGTCTAAACCACGTTTCAAAATATCCGAACGTTGAATTTCATGGCCATCCATTTACTGAAATGTCTTGACAAAACATAAAAAACAAAACTGTATCAAACTTAAAGTATAGACGAAACAATTAAAATGTGAATTCGTAAACTTTCAAACTATTATTGCAACTCACAACACAAAATAAACACATGCTTCTATAGCATAGAGTTCCTTTTTTTAACATAACAAGAGGAACACCTGTAGAAAATATAAACTAATCAATAGGTTCTAGGAAGTTGAAAACAACGCTCTTTACAAATACCGTACATGTACAATAAGATTTCACGAACAGTGTTTTGGCGTATTATTGAATCACAATTCCTGTAAATTGACTAATTAGATATTTTAGCAACATATCTTATCTCTCATCCCGACAATATATATTCGACTTTGATCGTTTCTGGTGAAGGTAAATACAGAAAAGCACTTTGAACACATGAAATTTATAAAGTGTTGTTTTCATATTTCATACAACTATTCGGTTGCCGGAAGAAACGATTCTCCGAAAGAACATGGTTATCACTGCTCACGATTCAAGTATTACACATCCTTTAAAACAGGAAATGACGTAGTTATGTTCTACAATTCCTCGAAATTCAGAGACACAGTCAAACATTAAATTGAGGCAATAGATACAACGATGATAAATAAAATTCATTAGTCCAACAGAGTGATCAGTTAAAGACTAGCTAGCCTACATGAACAAGCCACATGAGCTTCTGGTGAAGTTTTATACACCACATATGCATTCAAAATCAAAGCGAATCAGTTTTTATCTTTACCACGGTTTCGGATAATGTATTTATCATTTTAAAAGCACGTCCAAAAAACAGAATCATAATTATTCACTACAAACAAAATGAAATCATAATGGAATACCGTGTATTCTCACAGGTTTTCTTTTGTTATGCATTAAGTAAATAATATGTAAAAAGCATTTAAAAATGACATATATTTTTGTTAACATCCTTGTCGTTTGATGGATTGTGGTCTTATTGGTAATCAAGGGCCGTAGTACTCTTGATCATCTTGTTCGTTTGAATCTTTCATCTGAACAATAATCATCTGATGCCAGTCTTTGTCGATCTTGAAAAGGTCTATGACAATACTTGGAAGTATGGTATTTTAATAGATCTTTTCGATATGGGATTGAAAGACAATATACCAAATTCCATTTCAAATTTTCTCTCTAACAGGCAATTTAATGTTAGAGTTAACTCAGCCATGTCCGATCTTTATAATCAGGAAATGGGTGTCCCTCGGGGAAGTATTTTGTCTGTTACATTGTTCACTTTAAAAATTAACAGTCTTGGTGAAGTTTTAAAAAGCAATATGGAAGGTTCTCTGTACGTTGATGATTTCTTAATATGTTACAGAGTTCAAAATATGAGTAATATAAAATGTCAATTACAATTATGCCTTAGTAGAATTGAAACATTGGCTTCAAAAAATTGGTTTAAATTTTTCTTCTCCAAAAACTGCCGGGATGTATTTCTGCAATAAACGGAAATTGCTTCTTGACCCTAAGCTCTACTGATACGGACACCAGATTAGAACGGTCGATGAAACCAAAATTCTTGGTCTAATTTTTGATATAAAGTTAACCTTTCTTTCTATATCAAAATGTTAAAATCAAAGTGTCTAAAAACTTATTTTAAAAGTCGTGGCTAGCACTTACTGGGGTGCTGATCGTTACATTTTATTAAATTGATAACTCGGTCGGTCTAAACTTGATTGTGGATCCATAGTGTTTAGCTCCCAAAGGAAGTCATATACCCAAATAATCGATACTGTGCATAACCAAGGTCTTCGTCTGTTTCTTGGTGCCATTAAAACCTCACCAGTTGAGAGTCAAGGCCGAAGATCCTCGACTCTCTCATAGAGTTTTGAAGATTGGTCTACAGTATGCCGTCAAGCTAAATGCATTTCCAGGAAAAGCTGCCTATAACTGTGTTTTAAATCCTATTTATGAAAATACTGTTGAATAACATATAAGATAAAATTCCTACATTAGGAATTCGTTTAAAACCACATTTGAGTACCTTTGATTTGAAATCTGTTTCTCCGGTTAAAATTTATAAATACCCCCCATTGGGAACATCCTAAAATAGAAATGATATTTGATCACTATAAATAAAATAAGGCTGAAACAAATCCTCTTTTAATTCAGCAATATTATGCTTAAAAAAAATCCAATGAATCTAATTCTTCAACTGTTTATTAAAGCGGGAGGTTTGGCATGCCACAAAACCAGGTTCAACCCACCATTTTTTCTTAAAATGTCCTGTACCAAGTCAGGAAAATGGCCATTGTTATATTATAGTTCGTTTCTGTGTGTGTTACATTTTAATGTTGTGTTTTTGTTGTGTCGTTGTTCTCCTCTTATATTTGATGCGTTTTCCTCAGTTTTAGTTTGTAACCCGGATTTGTTTTTATCTCTATCGATTTATGAGTTTCGAACAGCGGTATACTACTGTTGCCTTTATTTATACTGATGGATCGAAAGATGGAGACAGAATATCATCTGCTGCAGTTTTTTTGGTCACTGAGCTGCAAATCTCCGCTTTCTTTCTGCTGCGTCCATCTTTACTTCAGAGGCAATTATTCTTGCATTGCAGTTCATTGCTACTTCCAACATTTATTATATGTTCTGACTTGCTATCATGTCTTCAAGCTATACACAATACCAAATTAAAAACCCGTTACTTCAAAAATCCTTTACGTAATGAGAAATGTTAATATTATTGATAAAGAAATTTTGTTTCTATGGGTGCCAAGTCATACCGGCATCCATGGAAACACAGTTGTAGATCAGGAAGTAAAAATGCCAAAACGACCAAATATCTAATTGTGAAATACCATATACTGATTTTCAATCTAATATAAGAGAATATGTTTTCAATACATGAAAAAGGTATGGAGTCAAAAAAAATGCATGAAATAAAACCAAATATATGCAAACCTTTACACACAATTTTTATGTACAAATATAAATATGTTGTATATATAGTGTAAATGATTTTAAAGTTTTTTTCATTTGATCTTATTGGTATAATTTCGCTGTAAAATAAAGTTTTATTAAATTGAAAGGCCTTTTGTCTGATTTTTAAATACTGTCTTTTGCTAAAATATCTCGCCGCGATATAGGCTTTTTATGCTAATGTGGCGTAACGAAATCACCAATCAATCAACCATTGGTCTATGACTTTGAGGTGTAGACTAAATGTCTAGACAATTTACTGAGTTTTCTCCTATAAAAGTTATTACAAATGTATGTTTATAATGCACTTCAAAGGAACCTTCTAAGTATTTTTCATTTTACATATTGATACAGATACTAATACAAAACTATATGTTTGATCAGGAAGTCGTGGTCTGTTTTTTGTTCAGTATTTTGTGGAGAATATCTTGTATCCTACACCCGTAGTGTAACTTATTTTAGTTATGTTGATTAGTCATATCAAGTGATAATGGATCATGCAATAATGGACTGGTAATTTACTCTTATCTAACCCTAAGACATCACTAATTTCGTATAAATTCGTAAATGTACAAATTATCTTCCCTTTTAGGTGTTGTTGTAATCTTTTATATTCCAACATTATATTTGGTGCGTTTACAGATTGGTTCTTACCAAGAACGCCCAAACCCTAAAAAGTAGTGTGGCTTTACCAAAAGTTTGGTATGTAGAAATTGAGTTATAACATGACGACATATATATATTAAACGACTAAAAAAATGCGAAAACGGTTTAGTACTTTTAAACAAAAGGTAAGAACACAAAAACGTTGCATAATTTGCTTCCAATTTAATTTGTACATGATCCATGTACTTCGAGTATATACAGATTACTTCCTTTTACAAATGTTTATACGACGATTTATACAGCTGTGTCTCTGTACACATCAATAAATTAACAAAATTTTCGAATTCTTAACAAATATTATTATCAAATTGAGGAGTACAATCCTTTAACATTTTTCACCATGCAATAAACCTGTCCCCTTATAGTGTTCAAATCTGATAGAACAATACATCCAAGAAGTGCTAAAAGAATAACTATTGGAATTGTTCCTATAATCGTAGCACTGGGTCTTTTATCTTTCACTGAAATTTTCCTTCTAATCTGCGATGAGAGGGTTTTAGTGTCAACTAAAAGCAACTGTCGAATTTCGTCTCTTATGTTCTCAACCTGCTCTGCTGTTAAGTTATTGTGATATTTATGATAGCAGAAAGAAAAGCATGTCAAATTATCAAAATGTCCATGAGAATTGACCGGTTGTGTAGTCTTCTCTGCTGTAGGCGTATGATCATCGGTATTTACTGTTGTTGATGAAGTGGTACCTGTTATTCCCTGTGATGCAATCAATGTCGCTGTGTCCATATGTGAAGTAGGCAGTATAGAGGTTCCTAGTTGTGATATTGTCAATGCCGCTGTGTCCATATGTGAAGAAGGCAGTATAGAGGTTCCTAGTTGTGATATTGTCAATGTCGCTGTGTCAATATGTGAAGTAGGCAGTATAGAGGTTCCTAGTTGTGATATTGTCAATGTCGCTGTGTCAATATGTGAAGTAGGCAGTATAGAGGTTCCTAGTTGTGATATTGTCAATGTCGCTGTGTCCATATGTGAAGAAGGCAGATTATTGGTTTCTAATTGTGATGTTATCATTGTAAAACCGATTTCAGATGACACAGGCATTTGAGTAGTGATCTGAGACAAAACCTGTTCTGTCGACATTGACGAATAATCATTAAGTGAAGATGTTAGATAATCAGCCGTATAAATATCTGAAAATAAGTCATAAATTACATTGTACACGAAATTCCGATGTGTGTGCCGTTACATGAATTAAGATATTTCCCTGTACATAAAACCGTCACAGAAAAAAGTATTAAACATTACAAACCAACGATTCATATGTAATTTGCCAATAAATGATAGTCATAGAAATATCTAATTGAAATAAGTGTACAATACCTTTGTCAATAATGATCTTTTATAAATTTCAATTTCTTGTTATATACTGCTTCATACAAGTTTAAGAATGTACCATTTTTCGGGGTGGGTGTATCATTTATTTAGCATCTTCACGGAACAACAGGTGTTTTTCTAAGTGTTTTAATTACTTAATAATTATATCTCGAAATACATTTAGAATATACTAATAAAGATAACAATAAAAGAGGGAAACGCATTAATTCCAAACGAGCAAATACAACGGAGTCTACAGGGTAGGCATTTCTCGCTATGTGTAAGATATTCTCATGCAACATGTTTCCAAGGGTTTTTTTTTATTTCACGCGCTGTAAAGACTACAAAGCAGGGTTTTTCCATAAATAGACCGAAAATCATCGTCGATGCATCAAATTGGTTGCCATGAAATATCATAATTTCTCGGTGAAATAAAATCCAATATTTTTACATGTGAAGAAATCCTGTAATATCGCTTCTCTGAAATCCTACATAAATAGCTGTTGACAAGATGTTGCTATAGCGTTGCAAAAAAAAACGATTGGCGAATAATAAAATATCATATAGTTACTTGCATCTTTCTCGATACGTACCACTAGTGTCAATTTCGCTGTTGTGGTAATATCCGTATATCCCAATTCTTTCAGCAGTAACATAGTCATCTGTGGATAAAAATTCATATTACATGAGTACATTTTTAGGACACTAAGCGCACCAGTTTTCAAGTATCAAATCACAGATAGAGTTAAACCAAAGACTTAATAATGTTTAACAAGGAAATGTAAATGCTTAAAAATATATTTTCAAAAAGAACAATAAACGGAAAAATAAATATTTATTCAAATGAATCAAATCATCAACTTACCATAGGGTTCGTATAATGTAATACGACAGCGTGGATTATCAGGAGGAGTGTCACCACTTGGGTAGATTGTCAACCTAAAACATGATGTACGAAGTGGTTCAATGACGTGTACTGTTGAAGCTTCAAACACCTGTATAGAAAATATTGATATTTTTTTTTACAATGTAATTATATTATTCATGAATAAATTATTACAAATGTAAACGTTACATAGTTTTTTTTCTATTGCTCCAATTTATTCATTTAACATTACCGGTTCTTATAATGAATCATACTAAGTGCACATCCTTACCCTAAAATTATCTATTTTCTGTGTAGATTTTTTGAGCTCAAATAGGGCATGCAAATCGAGGCCATTGTCAATTGTTGAATAGACTTTCTTTATCCAAATTTGATTTTTTTTCAAGGAAATTAATCAAGAACGCAATATGACCTAAACAGCGGCATGACGTTTGGTTATTAAGCAAATGACAATGGAAATTTGGAGGAGCTTGTACTTGAATTCATTACATGATGGGTAAACATCATTTTTATATTTTAATGCACTATAAACAGTTAACGAAGATTTCATGACAACTTATTTTTCATTTCTAACACATACTTTTATCACGTTCTTTCATCATTCATTTCAATATTAAAGTTATTCACAATGACATCAATGATTCAGTATGAAAAATCGTTTCCCTAAATAATTCCAATATTATTTACCATTAATTTATCGGTTTTAGAAATTGCTTTTCTTTGTGTTTTACTCGCTTCTTACTGTCTCTTGTATGTATTTTCGTTTATTTTGAATTGTGTTCAGCTTCTTTTGTTTTAGGATGTGCCAAGTAGTTTTAAATTTCTGTTATTTTACTACTTAATCCACATTACGGTGTTTAACTTATACATGTGATGTTTTACTCTTCCAATAAAATCTTTTCTTTAACTGGGGATGTAAATGAATATATTTCTTACGTTGCAAGTATTGTACCTCCTTGTTTCTAAATGTTTAACATTTGTTTCTTAATTTAATTTAAAATATGTAATCTGGTAAAATATTTGTCTTCCAAATTGTTTTTTACAGACGTTGCCTCAATGGAAACTATGCCGCTGCTTTGCCTAGGTAGAATTGTTCAATTTAACATCTGCAGAGTTTTATCAAGTTATTATATTTTGATATTCAAATATTATCAATTGTCATAATGACAATCCTGTTCGACGGATGCCACATATAGAGCAGGATCTGCTTACCCTTCCGGAGCACCTGAGATCACCCCCAGTCTCAGTCTTTAGTTTTCTATGTTGTTTTGTATGCTGTTTGTCTCTTTGTCTTTTTCCGGTTTTTGCCATGGCGTTGTATATTTTCGACTTATAAGTTTGAATGTCCCTTTTGACATCTTTCGCCTCTCTTTTATTGGGTGTTGATGAAGGCAATTACTATTGTACTAAACAGTAAATACAAAGTCAGAAATTTGAACCAAGACTAAAAAGTGAAAACGTAAGAGGAAAACAAATTTGTCTGGATGGTTGATAACTTTTAATGTGCCCTCATGACAAAGTAAATACTTTAATAGATTTCTGTTATTCATAATATTAGTCGTACCTTGAGATCAAATTCGGTATATCTTTGAAACGAATCATTATAAGAACAACTTTCTCCTGAAAATTCAAATGTGAAATTACTGATGCCAAAGTTTATTTCGGAGAGTAAAACACCACTAATGATTTTATTTTCACCTTTTCCATTTCCAATTTCAACCTTCAAAACAAAACGAAAAGGTTAATATTACATCAAGAAATGAATATCATAAAAAAAATTAAGCACGTTTATAAATGACCAAACAAAGAAAAATGTATTTTATAAATCATGTCATATGGAAGAAAGATGCGTAAAGCTTTGGGATATTGATGTCTAAATGTTTTGAACTGAGTAAATAAAGCTTGCGATTTACAACTACTTTCAAATGTTTTGTCATTAAGCAAAAGCAAAGTAAAAATTAGAAAAAAAAATCAAACCTTCCAGAACCTACATATTGCACATGAATTAAAGGAGATATTGGTCAAGGAAATGATTAATGCATTTGTTCTTTTTCTGAATATGCGTTAACTATATGTCACAGCGACATATTTCAAATAATCTTATCTTAAACATCAATTTTCAGGTTTGGGATTTTTTAAATATCTTGACTGCGAGCTCCACTGCAGAGATATTTATTGTCGAAATGTGCAGCCGGTTCAGTAAAATTGGTACCGTAAATGTTATTACATAGAGAAAAAAAAACATCAATACAACTGAAGACTAAAACTGACCAGTTTCCCGTCTTTAGATAGGTACATTTTAGTTTTATTTTAAACTGTAAATTATTGCCTTCACCTTACAAATTACAAGATATAAAAAGAAATGATTACACAGCAATAATATGAATACATCCTTCAATAACCAGCATTCTTTGTAACTAGCATTCCTTCTTCAAGGAAATTCAAGAAATATTAATGCCTACAACAAATGAGTAAATCGTGACACATGATTTTCAAAATCAATTCCAATTTCATCTTTGCATCAAAATAGCAAAACATTTAAATGTTTTGGGAAAGTTGACATTTAAGTTTAAACGTGTTTAAAAATATAAGAAAACTTAATTTAAGAACAGAAATATTAATTACTTACTGAAAACGTCTAAAATTTAGGGCTTTGTCTTCATTTAAATACCACTACACCAAAAGGATAGAATTAGTACCTAACGATTGGCGATTCATTGTATAAACGTACGTACGTATGTTTTGTCAGTGATTAACTAATCAATCAACATTTTAAATTGTACTCTATATGGAGAATCATTTTTGCAAATCTCAGGGTTATCACGTGCACCCGGTATAGAGTATTTTTACTTTGCCCGTCTTTAAAAAGCACAACACCGAGTTGTCCCTCTGGAGTTTGATACAATCTATATTTAATATACCGTGAAAGTTTTTGAATATTCATGATCCGCCAAGTTCGCCACTGTATCGATCAACATGACATTGGTGCTGTCAAAATTTATAACATCTGAAAACATGGATAATATTATATGTTAATTCTATGACCAATGCATCTCTGCATTGTTTTTTTTTAAGGTTGAAATTGTTAAGAAAAATACATAATATGACATTAGCCCTTATATTCTTCTGATGCAGGCTTTTAGTCAATGATACTACAACCAAATGACACAAACAATCAAGCCCCTATAGATATGTAGGTATATGCAGGTTTTAATGATAGACAGTTCGTTCACACAGTATGTCAAGCTCTTCTACTTATGTTGTGGGTAGATTAAATCCACAATCAAAGAAATGTACCATATTAGATATAAATAGATTAAAAGATGAACACAACTATCTTCTCCGGATTTTTCTTTGCGGGATAATATGTAAAGTAAAAATATAAAACGACGGTGACCGCTACCTTCGTCAGAGCAATTTATGTTAAAACATGTTAGTTTTCTAGTTTGAATTGTTTTACATTTGTCATTGTAGGGCCTTTTATAGCCTGCTATGCGGCATGGGTTTTTTACTCATTGTTGAAGGCCATACATTGACCTATAGTTGCTAACTTCTATTTCATTTGGTTTTTATTGGTCTTTGGTGGGAAGTTGTCTCATTGGCAATCATACCACATCTTTCTATTGCAAAAAAATAAGTACATTGAACCGCGTTAGTAAATTTGTGAAAATAACATCGTCGAGGCATTTAATAACTACGAATAAAGTCAAAAATAAGGAAAAAATCTCGTTTGTCTACATTTTTTGGTCCTATTTATCAACTTCTGTGTAGGTGCAAGCAAATGTATTCTACAGACCTTTAGTATCTGTCATTTAAAACTCCATTGGATACCATCAAAGTATTCAATAGTTTTTTTTTGGTTTTTTTAAAGACGAATTATAAAAAATGTATATTAGAAAGATATTTTTGTTGTCTGATATTTACCATGTGAGTAAAATGCCTTGACTGATGACATTCCACAGGGTTGGTCGTCATTATTTTCATCTTTACAGGTAAAATCGAGACATTTAATATCATGCACTATATGCTGGGTAATACTGGTTGACCCGAGTATACATTCGCAGATTATCATACTTCCTGTCGTCTGAAATATTTAGCATATGTAATAACTAGTCCAAATAATTATGACGTCTTGAAAGGCTTTTTTAATAATTTTTTTCTGTGAAAGCTTTAGAACGGAGTCACAGAAAAAAATAAAATAGCCTTTCAAGACGTCATAATTATTTGGACTAGATTCTAATATGACGTGCTTCTTTCGCTTTGTAAATAACAGCGTGATAAAATTCACGATTATATCTATACTTAGCGCGGACTCAGAGATGAACATATTAATGGCTGTTCTATTTACCTCCCATGTAAATCCATATGTATCGTATTAACCTATGTGCAAACACTATGCGGATTTCGTTGTGTTCAAAATGAAATTGAAAAAGTAACTACAGAATCGTTTTTCCTATTCTAATGCATAACAAAAAAATTTTATGCATAAGATCTTAAAAAATGTATAAAATCAAAATAAAATAAAAATCCTCGAAATTTCATGAATGATCTTGGCGCATTAACGTCATGTAAAGTAAAATAACAAAACATACCGAACTCCAAGGAAAATTCAAATCGGAAAGTCCCTTATCAAATGGCAAAATCAAAAACTCAAACACATCAAACGAATGGAAACAACTGTCATATTCCTGACTTGGTACAGGCATTTTATTATGTAGAAAATGGTGGATTAAACCTGGTTATATAGCTAGCTAAACTTCTCACTTGTATGACAGTCGCATAAAATTCCATTATATTGACAACAATGTGTGAACAAAACAAACAGACATAATAGGTAAAAATGTCAAAAATAGAGGTACAGCAGTCAACATTGTCATATAATCTTAATCACTATAAAAACAAACAAATATGTCAACAAAGAAAAACAAAATGGCATATAGACAAAGCACATAAGCAAAAATGAAAGACAAAAATACAAAAAATGACCACAGCACAACAACACAATGGCGTGATGCATAAGTACCGAGCCACGCCAAAGAAAATTACCAAAAATTGACTATACAGTAAAGGTTAATAATTTACAAAGACAAAAAAAAGAACGTTAACGCTCAAGATGAAATTCGAATATCACGGCCCAGGCCATGTGAAAAGTTCCAACAAATCTATGGCTTGCATGAATTATTTCTTAAGTAATCCCTGGAATTCATGATGAGATCAAATGAATCAGTACCAACTAAAAACAACAAGAAAGAAAAATCATAGAAAGTTATATGAAAAACTTATGTACATTAAAAGTAAGTTAAACACAAAGGCTTCGGTATTTCTTTAAATCGCAGTTAAATGGGGGTATTGTATCAGTATTTGTCCATAAAAATACTTCTTGCATGGGGTTGTTAGTCTTCATAATATGTTTTCCTTGAAAAAAAATCACGACAAAAGGTTCAATTTTTGAGATCACATGCTGCCATGTGAGCTCTTGAAAATCTTTAATTGTATTTATACTGTATCATTACGACAACTTATTGTTATTTATACTTTGAAGGAAAAAATATTCTTCTTTTCCTTAATTGTCATCGTTTTCAACATGCTTATGCATTTATATCACGTTATATTATTATCTAGTTACTTTTTATGATGACTTTTCAATAGTGCAATCAACACTGCACATAAATGTTGATTTTGTTATCAGTAAATTAGGACCATACTAAATAGTATTGTTATACACATATGCACTTTATCGGTACTACAATTTGTCTTTATTTTGGCATTGCTCAAGGTCGTGTATTTCTCTGAATGTTAATGACGTCTTTACACTAAATCCACTGGTTGTTGGATTTGTAATTATTTTTTTTTTAGTCCTAGATACATTTTTTTATTAGTTGTTATTAGCTTTGAGCTAGCTGTCAGTGACTGCGAGTACTCTCAGATCTGTACTTAGTGTCTTTTTTGTAGTAAGGGATGAGGGGTGGATAAATACCCTGCCACGTCCGGTCTGTGCTTTAGTTACATGTTTTTCTGCTTTGTATCGATCTGATGAGTTAAGACATTTTCAACTGATTTTTTTAGTTTGTTCTCATTTGGGCTGTAGCACCACTGTCCAAGGTAAGGGGAAGGTTGAGCGCTCACAAACATGTTTAATCCCGCCACATTCTTATGTGCCTGTCCCAAGTCAGGAGCCTGTAGTTCAGTGCCTATAATTGCTTACATCCATTTCATTTGAACTTTGGTGGATAGTTGTCTCATTTGTCACATCTCCTCATTTTTATAAAGTAGAACATTTCAGAAACTGAAAGCATGTTACCACACACAATGTACGAAAGATTGATTCTATCATTTTTTATTTATTTATTTATTTATTTATTTATTTATTTATTTATTTATTTATTTATTTATTTATTTATTTATTTTCCTTTACTTTAATCTAACAAATGCATTTTCCACCTCAAAATTATTGGTCAGTCATAAAGGGTGAATGACAAGGCGGGATGTCAGTATACAATATGCTCAAAATCTCTTTGTAAAAAGTTTAACCAATGTTTATAGTTTGTCCTTATGTTGTGCTGTTACACCACTGTCCCAGGTTAAGGGACGGGTTGAGCGCTCACAAACATGTTTAACCCCACCACATTCTTTATGTGCCTGTCCCAAGACAGGAGCCTGTAGTTCAGTGGTTGTCGTTGGTTCATGTCTGTCATATTTGTTTTTCGTAAATTGTTTTGTTATAAATTAGGCCGTTAGTTTTCTCATATTTGTCATGTCGGGGCCTTTTATAGCCGACAATACGGTATGGGTTTTCTCATTGTTGACAGCCGTACAGTTGCCTACAATTGCTTACATCCACTTTATTTGAACTTTGGTCAATAATTTTCTCATTGGCAATCATACCACATCTCCTTATTTTTATATTAAATTCTAATAATGTAGCCTTAACCATGATGAATTCTTGGGGTTTGGTATTAATTATCTCCGTTATAAATATATAGAATAAATCTATAAAATAAACCTGTAATAGCAAGGCTACAGAAAAAAATCTGTTCAAGTATATCTTTTCATTTTAACCTGATGACGACAAATTCAAATTCAAAATTAATGACTGTTTTTCTTTTTTTCATTTCTATGAATCTATGTCTTTGTCATTGATATTAACTAAAAGTGTAAATATTGTCATCATATTGCTTTGATCAAGGTATTGTTTCGGACTGTTTATATCATTCTTAAAGTCGCTTTGTAAAATTTTAGTCGTTTCTTTTACATAAATTCCCTGAAAGTCAAATTTAGAAAAAGTATTTGAACCTGTACTGCAAAACTGCTTGTGTAATTGCAAAACCACGCGCAGGAATCGATGGATGTCAGGTCTTTAGAAGAACGAGAAACAATGGCTTCAAATCCGCTGAAGTACTCAACACAATACTGGTAGGTTGTTGATATGATACCTAAAATATTTATAAAATATAGTATAATTCGCTTGTGTATTGTAGTCAGTATAAATAAACTAAATAAAACATTGTATTATGATACCTTCAATATCAATTGTATAGATTTTTAGAGGATGTTTTTTTCTGTATATGACACATCAAAGAAATCATATTTTTGAATTTTTACAACGGTACTATTTCATTGCCATGGAATCCCTATAAATATATATATATATATATATATATATATATATACCTAGTAGAATCCAGTAACATGTTGTTGTGTTTGTTTCGATAGCCTCTTCTGGATTGTTTTCCTTGATTTTATGTCTTGTGACAAAGTTTAGGGTGAATATTGTTTTATCCCTGTCCGTCCGTCCATTCCGTATTGGGTACATGGTTTGTCTAGACTAGCTAACTCCTTCCGTTTTCAAGTTAGATTTTTTTTTAAAGTTTGTCTGATCTTAAGTCATATACTAAGTATGGAGGTCCATTGTTGCTTAAATCCACGTCATTTGGACTCTGTTGGATAGTTGTCTCCACGTCTCTTAATTCTCAGATAAAAAAGTGTGCAAATTGTCAGAATTTTGTTTTCTTTAAATGTTCCATTTGTGACAGGATGTTGAAATTAGTCAATGTTATGACATCGTGACAAAAAGTCCAGTGATTTATTTCGGTGTAAAATGATTTCATGATGACTTTTTATCTTTTAAATGTTTTTTTTCACAACAATTCCAAATTCACCAAAAACAGTTGTTAACTCGATTTTGCACTTACCATGTAAAAGTAAGTGGTATGAGTTTAAACAAGGAGGGAAAAGCAATTATAGGACACCGTACGGAATCTCATATCTCAGCTATAATGAAAGACCCCGCCATGTTCATTTTTGTATTATCGTAGCATTCACATTTTTTACCTCCTGTTAATTTTGCAGAGCTTGAGTCATATGTTTGACAGGAAAAAAACTACTACAACATATTGTCCTATTTTATGGAATAAATAAGAATTATGAGGATCATCAAATATGTATTACAGACTATTTCAATTTGTACTTCAACATCTCTGTTTGCTAAATCTTTTTTTTTTTTGCTGAACTATACCCAAGCATACGGCGGGAACATTATCTTTTCTGATTTTTCTTTTTCTGTTCTTACTTTTTTATTCAGGAAACTTATGGCATATCTTTAAGCAATGTATTTTTATTGATTTTAATCAAGATTGTCCTTTTGTGACAAATATTTTACCACAACCGATAGCGTCGCCGATTAGCTGACGTACAATATATTTTACCCCAGCGTGGACTCAAATTGTTTGAAGAGCATGCATTTTATAATTGATAGTATCTAGCAATTACAAAAAGAAATTCTCTATAATTTGAGACCGTTTATCGTGTGATACTTATTTTACTGGAGACCGAAATACTATATTGACCTCCGAATGTCACGGCGTAAGGTTTTGTCCGATTTGGCATATTCACCACTTCGCCTTTAATTTATTATCATTTATTAATTAGCATTATCATGCTAATACGTGATTGTGGTTCTCATTTTTTTAATGATATTTATGCAATTACTTTTATTCTGTAATTCAAAATGTGATAAAAAGTTTATAACTCCTTGAAATAAATGATACCTCAGTTAGAACGTATCATCCAAATGCGTCCGTGGTTCGTTCTTTTGATAATTTCCCTGGATATGTGTTAAAAAAATGGGACGGTTTCCACGGAAGGTAGTGTCTAGTTAGGATTGTATTTTTTTCGAGTGAATTGTTCCGCTTTTTTCGAGAGTATGGCAGTGTTTTATCAAGCGAAACTACATGCCATCAAATCATTTCATGATTGCACAGCTTTATTTTTAAAACAATAACAAGAACGAAGGCATTCGGAACCTTTAAAACTTACTTTTTTATTACTGCACTTTAGGGAAGAACAATAACACAATGTTATTTTATATTATTAAATGAATCAAATACCTCCGATGTCATGCAGGAAAGGTGTCCGTTGTGACCTTTGAAAGTCATCATTGACAAAAAGCATAGCCAACAGACATGTCGGTCGCAATAACGTATCACATTCCAGGATGGGCTAACTAAGCAAGAATGCAAGCGTTGCCGTGTTACGTATGTCATCACTAGTAAGTAACGATTATCAGGTTGTCTGCATATTGATATTGTAAAATATCAGCTGCGAGTCACAATATGAAGATTTTTGTCGAGTGAGCGCAGCGAACGAGATAAAAAAAACCTTCATATTGTGTCGAGCAGCTGATATTTTACAATCTCAATATGCAGTTAACCTGATAATCGATTTATCTGGCTGTATTTGCGTCTTTTGGAAGTGTTTTCTTTGTTTCACCAGTAAACCGGAAGATGACTTGATAAGTTCGGGTCAAACTTATCAACGTCGGTTCAAACATTATGACGTAGCTGATATGTCCGGGTCAAAGTTATTAAGGCCGGGTCAAAGTTATTAAGGCCGGGTCAACGTATTTGACGTCACAAAGCCGTGATATGCAATTTTATTAAAAAGCTGAGCAGAGTGATATAGACAGTGGGACGACCGATAATTCAAATTATCGGATAACAGGAAGTAGGCGTCTGACATATCCGGAAAATGCTCACACTTTGCAACTCATACGAATAATATGCTGACAAGTTTAGATATGATGTCATTCTGTTCAGTAGTACTTAACAATAGTGTGGCGAAAATTTCAACACAGTTCGTTCAACATTTAGAAAACTTATTATTGGCAAACAGGAAGCAGGTCTTCCGAAAAATCAGAAAAGTGCTTACACGTTACAATTCATCACTGTTATAATTACCTAAGAAAAAATGTGAAGGAACTATTTAATTGACGAACGGCCGAAAAGACGGACGGACAAGCTGAATGCAATATAGTCCCACTTTTACAGTAGTGGTACAAAAAATATATCTTTCTACATGAAATACACCAAAAAATTCAAAAAATATAACGCAATAAATATCATCGCTACCAAATAACACAAGGTAATCACAAATTATAGCATCTACTGATTCACATCGTACATTACATACATGAAGTAGCCCTAGGTGACAAGCAGAAAAATCCATATGGTTGAACAACGTCCTGAAAACGACTGGAATAAGAATCGAACAAATTGAATCAAAATGAAATAAGTAATTGGACAAAAAAACGGCCAAGACAATAAAACAACAAATGAAAAATACGTGAATGCCATGACGTCTAGAAACGTGTAGAATAGAAAAGCTCTTGAGATTTATATTTATAACCAGCTGTGAATTCTCCATCCGTCGTATTAAAAACTCATTAGAAATACTAGAATTAAAATTTATTACGCCAGGCGCGCGTTTCGTCTACATTAAATGCATCAGTGGCACTCGAATCAAAACAATTGAAAGAATAGGTAAAATCATTGAAAACCAACAACATCCAATATCTTTTCTTTTCTGTTAGTTCAAAAAATTGTGACAAATATGGGCACGGGCATCTTTGCCTGGGGATGTCTAACTTTCTGTATTTCAAATATTTCGATATTTTATAAATGGTAAATTTACAGCAAATGATCATATCAATGATTCATCTGAGCACATTCCAACTGAGCTGTGACACCCTGTGGAGTAGTCAAGGTCAAACGTATAGACCACTTTTTCCCGAGGTTTTTTTTTTTTTAAGATTACGTAGGAATGCATATTTGTATTATGATTTAATAATGCATATTGCTAATTGATTAATTGCGTAATATTGTTAATTGACTGATTGCGTAATAATGTATATTGTAAATTGACTATTATGTAATAATGCATATTATAAGTTTTATGTAATACTATATTCTGTTATATGATTAATATGTAATATATGCATTTAAGGGAGTTATTGCTACGCAATAGTAAGATGATATAGCACGACACAAAGTTACAGTTATTTGGTGATGTTAAGATGTCTGTGAGAATGTTATATGCATGATGCAACTTATTATAAACTTAATAAATGCTTCGTACTTCTAGATACATGTATATGATAGTTAGATTGATTAGTGAATTGGACAGAGACGTAGTCTTTGTTAAAGCAGAAATGGTTTAACGAATTTCGTGCATCATTCTTTTCTTTTATGTAAATTGCATAAACTGCAGCCATTATACAATCATTGTCTAAAACGAACATAAGGCAAGTACAATAAGTAAGAATTGATTAGAGGGGAAAATTGTTTATTTTTTGGTTTTTCGTGTTTGTTTTGTTTTTATTCTAGTTTTGTTTTGTTTTTGTTTTTGCTTCTGTTTTTTGTGTTTGTGGTTTTTTTTTTTCTTCTTCACAATTGCATTATTGATTACTTTGTCGTGTATTATGATCCAAGAAATGTTGTCCCCCTTTGTAATCAATTTCATATATTGATCTTTTATTAGAACAGTTTTACCAATCGTTAGACTTATATTCTTGTCTCGGTGTATGTGTTTGTGTTGAGTGAAGCACCTGTATTTTGTAGACGATCCGTTACTTTCTCATTTTTAATAAATAGCGGTTTGTTTTCTTTAGATTCCTTTTACGTTGTGTGTATATAGTTTGCATTCTTTTACTTTTAAATTGTTACACAACACGTAATCGTGTATCTTGAAATTATAAAGACTGAGATAAAAGGAATATATATATTTTTATTAAACATGTACAATATCTACATCCCATATGGAGTTGTTGTAAAATCGTTCTTCAACACCCGTTTGTGAAATACAATCTTGTTAGTTTTATCTTCTGCCCGAGTGATAATGTTTGTAGTTTTGACATTTGATGACAAATTTTGTTATCATCAGTCACAGTTATTTTCTTTGTTTTTCCTTCTACGACATCTTTCATTGTTTTAAAATTCAGTTCGAGTGAATTCTTACAGTTTAATGTTATTCCTCGGATTTTACAGCATGTCAAGTTTCCATCTTTATCGGGATTTTTTCAGTTTATAAACGTAATTCATAGGTCCTCCTTTTATAAAACACTCAATTGTATTGTTTGGTGTTTCATCCGTTAGATCAC